GCTTTCCGGGGTTCCTCCAATCTCAGTCATACCATTAAGTCTGGTCTTTTTACTAGAATTTGAGTTCTGCACCCCACTTTTCTCCTGTTCCATCAACGGCTCTCTATTGTGTTCCCTGTCAGGGTGGTCATTGGTGGTAGCCAGGCACCATCTAGTTCTTCTGGTCTCAGGCTGACGGAGTCTCTGGTTTCTGTGGCCCTTTCTGTCTCTTGGGCTATTACTTTCCTTGTGTCTTTGGTGTTCTTCATTCTCCTTTACTCCAGGTGGTTGGGACCAATTATTGCATCTTAGATGGCTGCTCGCTAGCTTTTAAGCCCCAGACGCCACTCACCAAAGTGGGATGCAGAACATTTTCTTAATAAACTTTGTTATGCCAGTTGACCTAGATGTTCCCTGAAACCATGATCCCCAGACCCCTGCCCCTACTACTCTGTCCCTCGAAGTGTTTGGTTGTATTCAGGAAACTTCTTAGCTTTGGTTTAGACCCCTTATGCTAACTTCCCCTGTAGTGTGTGCTGTCCTTCCCTTTATCTAAGATAATTCTTGTCTACTATCTATTTAGTGAATACCTGTCTCTCTCCCTCTCCACCCTCCTAACCATCAGAGAATGTTTTCTTCTGTGTTTAAACCTTTCCTTGAGTGCTTATAATACTGATCTTATACAATATTTGTCCTTTTGCGACTGACTGAATTCACTCAGCATGATGCCTTCCAGATTCCTCCATGTTATAAGATGTTTCACGGCTTCATCTTTGTGCTTTATCGTTGCGCAGTATTCCATTGTGTGGATATACCATAATTTGTTTATCCATTCATCTGTTGATGGGCACCTGGGTTGTTTCCATCTTTTTGCTATTGTGAGCAGTGTTCCAGTGAACATGTGTGTGCATATATCTATTCGTGTGACGGCTCTTATTTCTCTAGGATATATTCCAAGGGGCGGGATTGCTGGATCGTATGGTACTTCTATTTCTAGCTTTTTAAGGAAGCGCCAGATCGATTTCTAAAGTGATTGTACCATTTTACATTCCCACCAGCCGTGTCGAAGTGTTCCAGTCTCTCCACAACCTCTCCAACATTTATTATTTTGTGTTTTTTTTTTTTTGGATTAAAGCTAGCCTTGTTGGGGTAAATAGTATCTCATTGTAGTTTTGACTTGCATTTCTCTAATGGCTAATGATCATGACCATTTCCTCATGTATCTGTTAGCCACCTGAATATCTTCTTTAGTGAAGTGCCTGTCCATATCCTTTGCCCATTTGTTAATTGGGTTATTTGTCTTTTTGATGTTAAGGTTTGCAGTATCTTGTAGATTTTCAAGATTAAATGCTGATCAGATTTGTCATAGCCAAAATTTTTTTCCCAGTCTGTAGGTTGTCTTTTTACTCTTGGTGACGTCTTTTGATGAGCATAAATGTTTGATTTTTAGGAGCTCCCAGTTATCTAGTTTCTTATCTGGTGTTTGTGCGTTGTTACGTATGGTTTGTATTCTGTTTATGCCATGTATTAGGGCTCCTAGCGTTACCCCTATTTTTTCTTCCATGATCTTTATTGTTTTCAATTATATATTTAGGTCTTTGATCCATTTTGAGTTAGTTTTTGTGCATGGTGTGAGGTATGGGTCTTATTTCATTTTTTGCAGATGGGTATCCAGTTATGTCAGCACCATTTGTTAAAGAGATTGTGTTTTCCCCAATTAATAGACTTGGCCTTTGTCAAATATCAGCTGCCCATAGGTGGATGAATTTACTTCTAGATTCTCAATTCTGTTCCATTGGTCTATGTATCTGTTGTTTTACCATTACCAGGCTGCTTTGACTACCGTGGCAGTATAATAGGTTCTAGAATCAGGTAGTGTGAGGCCTCCCACTTTGTTCTTCTTCTTCAGTAATGCTTTACTTTTCCGTGGCTTCTTCCCTTTCCATATGAAGTTGGTGATGTGTTTCTCCATCTCATTAAAAAAATGCCACTGAAATTTGGATCGGGATTGCAATGTATCTGTAGATCGCTTTGGGTAGAATTGACATTTTCACAATGTTGAGTCTTCCTATCCCTGAGCAAGGTATGTTTTTCCACTTATGCAGGTCTCTCTTGGTTTCTTGCAGTAGCATTTTGTAGTTTCCATCGTATAGGTCTTTTATGTCTCTGGTTAGATTTATGCCTAAGTATTTATATATGTGTACGTGTATGTGTATATATATATATATATATATATGTATATATATAGTACTTTAGATGAAGGTTTACAGAACAAATAGTTTCTCATTAAACAGTAAGTACATATATTGTTTTATGACATTGGTTAACAACCCCACAACATG